AGTTTCACCCGTAATATGAAAAACACTAGTAAAAAACATATTTCCCGAAAAAACAATTGTGTTATCGGTCGCGGAAACATATACGTCTCGTCACAATTCACAAAGAGTATTACGCCACTTCACGTTAAAAGGGTTGTGAAACTCCACTAATATAGTGAGTAAAATCTGTAGCTCAGCTGAGCATACCAAAACATATCTCCTCACACTGTTTCAAGGAATTCCACCAAAACGCTTCCCATCATTTCTATCAAAACTCATTACTGTTCAACTTCAGCATCCTTCCACAGACCATATTTAGCCGTCGTGTCAGTGAACCGATTGCTCAGACTCTCCAGGTCTTCCCCATCAGCGATGAATTCTGAGCGGAGCGAAGCGATTCAGCATATAAATCCCCAGTTCGTTACCGTCGATTCTATGTCCAACTCCGTCGTCGGGCGTATCGTCTGTGCTGTGCCAAAGCACCTACCATAAATGAGCGAATTCCATGGAAAAAGGGACCGAGTCGAAACAGCCTCGAATGACACTATGAGTGATGATAGCATTCATCCGTTACGACGAGAAGCTTCACGTCGCATAACAGGAAAGAGATTTTTAAGATCAATAACAGCAATAGGGAAGATAGACCCACATTATTGGTATGAATATCGTCTTCTCCAGCGGGCTCTCCTCGATGCAGCTCAGCCAAGTCAACCCCTCGAAAGGTCGATCGTAGACTCGCATCAACATCCTCCCATGAGATCTCTCCGGGAGTTTCTTGCGATAAGGAAGAGGAGGAGGTTCCTGAGAACATTCGCCAGAGTTTACTCATTCATCTAAACGCTCGGAGTGTAGGAGTTGGGAGTCTGATCTCACCAGTGGTCCTCATCGATTCCCAATACGCCTGAGTGTCGAGGTTCACATCATCTGAGGGGCTTTCAGTCGCCCATGTGGAATACCCTGCAGAGAAAAGATGAAAGAGGCTTTAGAAAATTCCGATTAAAACGACGAAAAAAATAACCCCGGCGGGACTTGAACCCGCAACCTTCGGCTCCGGAAACCGACGCGCTTCCATTGCGCCACGAGGTCGATGAAAAGCCTGCAAACACAACCGCACTCACCCATTCTCTATTCGAATAAAAGTCATCTAAAACATCCTATTATTACTCACCATCATCAATCATCCTCACATTCCCCTTCCGCAAGCAACACGATACTCCATCTCGGGCGAGCGCTTTTAACGTCACTTGTTGGGCGTATGCCAACGCTGACAAGAACATGAGTCTTACGGAGTGATCTCATGGATGTCGAATAAACGAATGAAGTGGAGCACCGTCATACATCAGTGTTGGACGAAAACATGTTCGCTTTCCTCAGCTGAGCTGAAAATTTTCATAATAAGAAATTTAGTGTTGGTTTTCATATTGTCCCCAACCAGTGCTGCAAAAAATGTTCGCTTTCCCCAGCTAAGCTCAATACCTTCCTCACCTAGCATGGGAGTTTATATATGAATTGGGAGGATATATGCGTAGTCTACATAAACTAGCCAGGATTATCGAAAATTTACTCAGACTCTTAATATTGTAAAATAATAGTATTATTAATATTATATAATATTATTATAATAATATTAATATTGTAATAGTATATAATTAATATTATAAACCAACACATGTGGTTGGCCATATCCATATTTTACCACACTGGGGACCCCAACACGAAAAGTTGATGACCATGTGCATAGTCCCCTCCACACTGACATATACAATCTAAAAATGCGCATCGTCCTAGTCCACTCAACGTGCTACTCCGCAGTTAACACTAGCAATGAAACTCCACAAGGTACCAAACAAAAATGTCGAATAATATATTTCTCATGAAATCACTACTTTTACAGCAAATTCAACCTCGCGTGAGATCTGACGATAATCATATTCACGATTGATTTCAAACTATTACAACAACCTTCTTAACTTTACTCCAAATCTTCGGAATAGATATATTTCGATCAGATTTAATACTACCGTTATCGGCCCCCTTGCTCCGTTTCGTCCCCCTATCGATTTCTATTTCACTTCGACACCTCCGTAGCCCCTCCGTAGTCTTCACGAAGATCCTCATTAATTTGCCGACTTCCTCATCAGGGGGCGTCGGAGGAAGCTTGTCGATTTCACTCATCGTCAAGGAAGCAAATCTTCCAACCATCAAGTGCATATATACGAACATCTCTCAAAAACGGTTGCAACATGTAAAAAAACTATACTCCGAAACCGTACAAAATCTACCCTCCAGAAAAGGCTTCATAATATATTTCCAAAACCGTTACGTGCTCTGAAACTATGAGCTTTCAAATCTTCGCATTGCTCTCCTTCTTTGTGAACTACACAACACCATCAAAATCACCAGGAAGACCTCCAATTCTGCCCACGGAAATGTACAGAAACCAATGAGAATTTCGCAAAATTTTTTCATAGGGATGCAGCGATATAGAATAGAAACCTCAATTCTATGCGATGGCAGATAATACATTGGCGAGTAAAAGAAGCACCGAAAAAAAGAAATTTTCAGAAGAAATTTCTTTTGTATTTACACAAGAAAATACAATGGAATTTTACCCGCTTCACGTAAGCGCGATATTCGCAGTGATGTGCAGTAGTCTGTAGTTGTGCAGATTGCATTAACCATTGCCTTGAGTTCCCAAATGGTTAACATAGTCGTGAAATATATTTTTCACACATCACTAGGGTGGTGAAACTCCTATGTGAAAGAGAATACCAACTGAAAGTAAATCTACAATAACGACCGAAGCGGCAACCCGATAATGCCGTGTATAAGTGCCCTGCGGTCATTCACCGCTCCGCTACGTTAAATAGTGTTGGAGGCGGAGCCACTTCATAAGAAGATATAATCAATATCAACTCAATTGTGTGCATATAACAGAACACGGTTATGCAAAGAATGCATCTAATGTACTTACTAAATAACCCCGGCGGGACTTGAACCCGCAACCTTCGGCTCCGGAAACCGACGCGCTTCCATTGCGCCACGAGATCGATGATAGTATGAATTACGTTTGAGCATGACCGATGACTAAAGAAGCCCCATATCTTCCCATGTTTCAAACAACTTCGATCGCTATGATCGCTGAATATTATCATTATTATGGAACTGCACAAGCTTGCACCCATGGGGTTAATTCCAATAGCATTATACCTGTTTCTTTCGACCAATACCTTAGTTCACTTGCCCTCCCTTAAGCGTGCTCGAATATGGAATGTTCATGGATTCACCTGCTGTGTGAACCTTTACCCTTACTCTTCCCCTCTTGAGTACTAGTCACGGCACACTGTAACAACACGAGCTTAGCAACCTTACATTTAACGTGAATGGTAATTGAATCGGTTCTAGCATCTGATTATACGTCTATGCAGCGATTCTGAGTTTCGAAATCTGTTTATTGAACAACTCCAGTGTGAATGGAGCCGCCCGCGCCCAGTTGAATACGTCATACTTTGCATGTTGTAAATGTTATAGATTAAATCGTCGTCGTGAATGATGACGATGAATCTGTTGAAAATACTGTTAAACACTCATTTAGTACGATTATAATTGCTGTTTGATTGAAACGGTCCTTAATAGCGAGCAATACATGATACAGCAATCACGTTCTTCTGCTCTAAGACTACTGCCGATAATTGCTCCTGATAATTATATCTTTTCGGTGGTACTTATGTATATCCGATTTCTCATGGTATAGTAGTTGAATAGTAGGGGAATCCCCTCATCAAAAAAAGTTTATGAATACGAGTGATCCAACTTGGTTTCGCAAAAGGCGTTGTGTGACGTGTCTATTCGGGCTAGACATAGAACTCAGATTTCAGCTTGATGCTAATATAAGAGATTTTACGGTTTTTTCATCAGAATTTCTTGCTACTCCTAATGATGGTGTAACTATTAAGACGAGTTAACTAATTTAGTCGTTGTGTGATTCCTCTATTCGTGCTAGGCTGGTATCAGCTTTACGCTTACTATAAAAGATTTTACGGTTTTTTCATCAGAATTTATTATTACTCCTAAGGATGGTGAAAGTATCTCCCTATTGTGTGGGTTGGTCGGTCATCTCCAACGTCACCTTTGGTTTGACTAATTTCCTCATATCATATACGAATGTTGGAGGTATTGATCCTTGGGCTGTTATTGGTTGGATTTGGTTCACCTCGGGGCTTATAGGAGTCTTAACTGGAATTTACTTCTGGTAAGTTTCGAACCTACTTTGTATCTTTTATGGTAGAACCTATTTTGTATCTTTCATGGTAGAACCTATTTTGTATCTTTCATGGTAGAACCTATTTTGTATCTTTCATGGTAGAACCTATTTTGTATCTTTCATGGTAGAACCTATTTTGTATCTTTCATGGTAGAACCTATTTTGCACTTTCATGGTAGAACCTATTTTGTATCTTTCATGGTAGAACCTATTTTGTATCTTTCATGGTAGAACCTATTTTGCACTTTCATGGTAGAACCTATTTTGTATCTTTCATGGTAGAACCTATTTTGTATCTTTCATGGTAGAACCTATTTTGTATCTTTCATGGTAGAACCTATTTTGTATCTTTCATGGTAGAACCTATTTTGTATCTTTCATGGTAGAACCTATTTTGTATCTTTCATGGTAGAACCTATTTTGTATCTTTCATGGTAGAACCTATTTTGTATCTTTCATGGTAGAACCTATTTTGTATCTTTCATGGTAGAACCTATTTTGTATCTTTCATGGTAGAACCTATTTTGTATCTTTCATGGTAGAATCTATTTTGTATCTTTCATGGTAGAATCTATTTTGTATCTTTCATGGTAGAACCTCGGATACGCCTAATCATTTGGTTTGTCAGGTTCAAAATAGGCCGGGTATTTTTCACTGCGGAATATCTTGAGCATGCCCTGGGGAAGATTCAAAGCAGGCCCAATTCCGACCCAGAGGTTGGCCAACCAGAATACGTTTATCTATGTGATGGTGAAAAAATCTACCCCCAACCTCACTTGGAAGAAATCTCGTTACGGGCAAAGTTATTAACACTCGTTGGAGGTAAACTTCATTTTGTATTTCTCAACTATTTGCGTATTTTCATTTTAGGTATGTGTGTTGGCCTTTCACAACTGATGATGAAGTGGGCTTTTGCTACCGACCCAGCAGCCTCGGGCCCCCTCACTGCAGTTATATCGTCGGATATTTTGGTAAACTGTAATTTATAATAAGTTGTATCTTTTAATGAGGATTATAATATGTATAGTATTATTAGAAAATCGTGACATCTATTGCAGTTTTATATCGGATAAGATTTTGAAAAATGAGGTTAAGTATAACTATGTTAAGTTGTATTTTTAAATGTGTATTATTAGAAATATTTGAGTTTTATTAATTTTACGTGAAGTGGCGTAATACTCTATAAAAAACGCGATATTCGCGGTGATATGCAGTAGTCGTGAAATGTGCAAACCATAACATCCTTTGCAGTTGAATCTTTGGAGAAATTGGTAAACAGAAATTATATTTTTCAATATCTACTATTGATTATTGGATTTTCATTCTAGTGAATATGAAAACAGTCGTGAAAAACCTATTTCAAATCTCACTTGAAAATTTGTTTTTCATTTTTTTTCACATGGAGTATCACGCCACTTCACGTAAAACGTGTGAACTTGTATTATTTTGAGTATTATTATGTAATCGTAAAATTCATCTGAGTTTCACCCGTTTAACGTGAAGTGGCGTCATACTTCGTGTAAATTTCAAAACGTATATGTTTTTGTGAAGTGAAATATATTTTTCATGAGTGTTTTTCATATCACTAGGGTGAAACTCCGTCATTATTATTAGTACATTTTTCACACAGTGTGTCTGATGGGAAATCGTTAGTTCATTATTTAGGTTATTGGTGTTTACTGCCATTTCGTATACAACGAAAAGCTAACTTGGTCGCAAGCTGTTGCAATTCTTGTTGTATTAGGAGGTGAGCTTCAAGCGGACCTATTCTGAATCTTACATGCTTGGACCTAAGATATTAATACCTTCAGGCCTTGTTGTAATGGGAGCTTCATTTGATTCTGGTGTTGGCGGCTCGGCCCTCGGATTCTTGTACGCCATATTGGGCATGCTTAGTTTCGCCGCTAGCATCGTCTGTATTAGAAGTTCCTGCATTGATGGTATCGATGCATGGTAATAATAATAAATCTTAGCGGAGCGAAGCTATTATTGTTATTTTGTTTGTGTATATCAGGTCTGGATTTATCGGAAGAATGGGAGTAATGTTCTTCATGGGGTTGATTGCATTGGCAGATTCTGGGTTCAACGGCGGACTAGTTGTTCATGATCACGCTCTGTGGAAGGACATGTAATGGGGGAATCTCAGTTGTATCTTACATGAGGGAACCTAAATTTGTATCTTACATGAGGGAACCTCCTATGTATCTTACATGAGGAAACCTCATTTGTATCTTACATGAGTGAACCTCATTTGTATCTTACATGAGTGAACCTCATTTGTATCTTACATGAGGGAACCTCATTCGTATCTTACATGAGGGAACCTTGGATATTCCCCACCTCCTCTATATGTGGTCGGGACGGACATCTATTTTTTGACTTAGGTATATCTGGCCAATAGTGTCGGGTGCATCACAAGCAGTGGGAGTGTTGGCGCTTAATCGTGCGTTAATTTATCCGTCCACAGCGGTTGTGAATGTGATAGCAGCGTCGAACTCAATCGTTGTGTTATTGCTAAACTGGATATTGCTCGGATTAGTCCCTGGCACTCCGAAGATAATTGGTAATATACTTTCATACCACATTTCCTTCAAATCGCGGTTGCTTAAGGTATGTTCTTGGTCATTGTTGGAGTATCTTTGATGACTATGTGGAAGCCTAAAGAGGTAAGTGATTATAAGAATAGCTTTAGGATATTTCTCTCTTGTTAGGAAGTCGAAGTTGAGGAGAAGGTCACAGAAGCTCTCGATAGTCCATTGAAGATGAGCCTAGCAAGCAATGGTGGAGCGAAGAGGAGTTCGCCATACGTTAGAGGTGAATGAGTTTACAAAAATGGAGGTACTAGGGATCGAACTTGGACGAGGGGGTTGACGGTCTGCTGATTTACCACTTGCGTATTTTTCCATAGGTGCAGATGAGCTGGTGTCTGGGCGGATTATCATTATATTAGCAGTAGCTCTCTCGTAGGTAGAGGAAACCACGCGGCGTTGTGGTTCCGATTGATTGATAATTGTAGTAGTAGTTGTAATTGTTATAGTTTATTATGAATATTTGATCTGCTAGTAATTCACTATTTTTAATGCTAGTGCGACTCTGGTAAGTCCGAATGGCTCTACCTTTGCCGCAGTTTCGATTTGTAACCTGCTACCTTGTGTTTTGATTAATTGTCTGGAGCGGGAGTCGAACCTGGGTCGTTTGCATCGAAAATGTATTTACGGTTTATTGCGAGACTGGTGTATGGACTCATCGTTAAGGATTAAAATTGATTTCGAAATGGTGTCCAGCAGATGCCTGTTAATTTTCATTAGAGTTGGCAGGATTGAGCTCACTGTGAGCGCTCTATCAATTTAATTTTGAAACGATGAATTTCGTTGATGTGATTCGGTTGTGTTATTTTTCACTTGAAGATTTTTCTCAATGACTACCTCGTCAAACGTTCGAAAGCGCAAAGGCGATGGGAAGACGGTGAGAATAAATAGAATATAAGTTTACACTCGAAAGCGTTGATATATATCCGATTTTAGATGGTCGATTCCTCACGGTTGTTGGAGAATCGCGATGATATCGATGATGTGATGGAGCGCAATGCGGTCACAGTTAGAAGGAGATTGTCGAGCTTGTCTGAAATCGGAGGAGTAAGTCCGTCGAGGAGAGCCGAAAGTCGGAAAAAATATTTTTCGGGTATGTTTGGTGCTGTGATATTCACGTTGATTGCAATACCATTCGGAAAATATTTAATAGAGTGCTTGTGGTTGGTTTATCTGTTGCATTGTCGAGCGGCCGATTTTGAATCCTAAGGTATTTGAGTTTCTACTCTTGACAATTTTGGTTGAATGAGTATGAACGGACGCGACATTCAAATTATTATTTCTCATCGTAGATTGCCACGAAGGCAATGATTCCCAATATGCGCACACGGTGCGCATATTGATATTAAAACACTCGACATCTCCCGAACTCCCAGGGGAAGAGAAGCTACTACTACTACTACTACTACTACTACTACTACTACTACTACTACGGTGTCTAACATGCCATGTCATCCAATCATATAGCGCCTAATGATGGTTCCAGGCTGTCTACACAATGAGCAGAAACAGTGGAATCTGATGAGCACCTCAAATTCAGCCCAATTGTATTCGGTGAGATTGTCTAACGCAACCTTATCTGTAGTGAATGTGAATTGCTTTTTTACAATAGTAGTGCGCAATGGAGATTAAGCAAGGGTGTAAGTGTAGGGACAGGAATGACACAATCTAACTGCTGGTCTTATCACAATGGTAAAATCTGGAACATCATCACAAGTCTGAGGAAATCAAGAATTCTTATCCCTACGTATTTGTTACTAACAAATTGTTAGTGAAACGATCAAGTCTTAATTTCTTAAGTTCTTACCGTCTTAAGGTCAGACTGACCTGGTCAGTAGAAATGGGCCCGATTACGGTCCGGTCCCGAACCGTACAGAGTACGGTGATACGGCGAACTACCGTAACTGTAATGTGATTCCGACGTAATGCGGGTACGGGTGCGCGCCATTCGGGACTGAGGATTTCACCCCGACTTGCGACAGAGCTAATTTTTGGTTGAACGCTGCATGTTTAGTTTGCTGTAGGCAATTAACCTAGATAGACAGTTGGGCAGTTATTTCTCGTAAGCCATCCCACCGAAAGGAAATCACAAGGTCAGCGTGGAGTTCCCCGACTGGGTGAGAATGGTCGACGATGAGGGGAAGGGATGCGCGAGTCGCATAACATGCCCGAAAAATATACGAATGAATAAGAAGTCGCTTTCCGGCATTCGAGCACACACGTGAGGGTATGCGAAAAATGTTACTAGGAAGAGATGGGCCTCCGCCAAAGAAGCTTCGGACTAACGACATCTAACATCAGTTCGACATCAAATTTTCGAGATACATCGTCCATTCTAGAGCAGTGTTGGAAACAGCAGATGACGAAAATTTTCGAGCCTTGGTCCACTGCCTCAATCCAGACGTTCAACCACCGTCTCGCAAATTACTGTCTCGCAAAATCCTCGAGAAGACAAAGAATTACTACGAGTGGGTCACAAATGACACTTTCCGCCTCCGACTTTATGATTGAATCCAATTGTCAGGTATGTTGTCAACATGCAAGCGAGTTAACGTGAGTCTAGACATATGGTCAAGATCCAGTAGGAGCTCGTGTCTCTGTAAGTATACTCGGAGACAGTCGTATGAATAGCAAAAGGCAGGTGCCATCATGGTTACACACAACATTGATCGGTAACTTCCTCCTCGACTTCGCTAGAATTGAAGGGAAGCACACTGCTGCGAATGTAACAGCAACCCTCAGAGATATACTCTCGAAGTGCCATATAGGCAAGTTGCCTAAGGCAACCACGATGGCATCGCACACGGTACTATTTTAATCGACGCCGCAGCGAGCAACAAGAGAATGGTGAAAGATTTACGTGAGAAAAATGGGTTAAAAACATGGGATATCCCACACATTTTATGCTGTGGACACAAGCTCCATCTTGTAGTGGGCAACTCTCTCGAGATCTGGTCACGCACCACAGATGACTACCCAGATAGAACGCGTTGCGACCCTGATCCGGGGGCTGCAGAGGACGACTCGTCGGATCTAGATGATCTCATCTGCGACGACTCCGATTCTGAGGTAGAACTCGGAGATATTGACAAATCAATAAACTACGCTTGGGCGGAGGGGGTCGTGACAGAGGCGGCTTCATGTTAAAGCAGGCAGTGGAAGTTCCACTGTGGAACAGCGCTATCAGAAAAGCAAGAAACAATTTGAGGTTCCTCCGCCAGTCGACCAACGCTGTAGATTTGTTACAGGGGTGTGCTACCAATCAGAACCGTAAGATAACCTTGCCGGCACCTTGCCGGCGGCAAGGGATATAATAACGCATTCAGCTTACTCATTGTTTAACTGATATAGGATGAACCGTGTGCTATTCGAAGCATACCACTGATATGATACCAGCAGCAATGTCTAAAGCGAGGAAAGCGTGACACGTTATATGTGCAGTGCACATTGTGCACTCCAAAAAGTTTCAATTCCTGGCAGGGCACTAAGAAACTATTGAAGACCTGTGCGAGGCATTGAGATATCTCCTGGATGCGACTAAGCTTTTGTCTGCCAGACAATGTCTGGGACCCGATTTCCCACTCTCGGGCTTATTCGGCCCGTAGTAAAGGGATTGCTGGCCGGCTTGGGTGATACATCAGATGGACGTGGAAGAAGGTCCAAAATCAGGCAGTGCCTTTCATCAAGCCTTGAGAAGTACTTCCGAGAGCATCTTGATGACGACAATATTATCGGCATCCTCTGTACCTGCGAGACTTATCCGAACACTAACTTTGCGGACACAGAGACAGAAAGTGTAGGACAAGCAGCTGTGAGGTCATGCACGGAGGCTCTCGGAATATAGGATAGAAGAGTTGCGATGCTCCGAGAAGCAGTTACTCAAACTTATATTGCCGGATCATCCGAGTGCACGTTGCTCAGCAGACTCAGAAGGAGAAAGCCTTGTATTCGACCAGTAGACGCGTCAAGCTTGACGAGGAAGCTCCAAATACATGAGAAGACGTTGGCTACCCGAGATAAAGGCGGTTCCCGGTTATAAAGATCTCTCTGTGCGCTGATGGGACTGACTCATCACCGTCTGATGATCAGACTCTGATCCTATTATCTATGAGTTGCCCAGTGTGATTGATATGAGATTCAGAGTCCTGTATGATGTAGTTTACCCTCATCGGCGACGACCTGTGCGCCCTGGTTCAAGGGTACAGTGCGTGATATGCGTGCCTCGGCTCGGGTTGACGTTGAATGCGATGATGAGCCCGGTAAGATCGAGACTTGATTTCTGGGCCTGTCAACATAGATCGATGTTATGAGTTTTGCTCTCTTCCACCTAGTATTATCGTTTTAAGTTTATAACCTTCAAGTTTATAGTATGGTAGATTTTGCACAGCCTGCGCGACACAGGTATTACCAATGGCTTGTGCATGCGTACGTATGTTTTAGCTAGAAGTTCTAGCTAGAACACACATGTTCGGT